AAAAGTTTAAAGTTAAAGGTCTTCATTTTTTACACCTTAATGTGAGGTCTATTCTAAACAAGATATCGGAACTTAGAATTCTTTTTAAAAGAAAAAGGCTGTCTATTATTGCTTTCACTGAAACATGGTTAAACAATTCCATAAATGATGAAGAAATTGAAATAGACGGATATAAAATCATACGCCATGATCGATCCTCTGGCTCTGGAGGTGGTGTATGTTTCTATATCAGAAATGATATTGCATTTAATATTATGGATGCTATAAGTACTGGAGATACGGAATCCCTGTGGATAAATTTGCTTATACCAAGATCAAAACCAATTGTTGTTGGTGTTCTGTATCGACCTCCGAAAAACAATTTGTTTATCGAGAAATTGTCCAATATTCTTGATACATTAAAGAAGGATGACGAAATAATTCTTTTAGGAGACATGAATATTTGTCTTCTTCGCAAATCGCCACTGGCTAAAAAATATATTGACTTGTTGAGTCTTCATGGGTTTAGTCAACTCATTAAAGACGCAACACGCGTTACACCTACATGTTCTTCTCTATTGGATCATGTTGGTTGTACCAAAGAAAATAAAATAAGTCAAAGTGGTGTCATTGATCTAGGTATTAGCGACCATTATTTTACTTTCTGTACACGGAAAAATGTTAGACTGGCTATAGGTCATCACAGGACTAATGATATCAGATCCATGAAAAAATATACAGAAGAGTCTTTCAATCTTCAACTATCTGTTGTTGATTGGTCACGAATAACTGACTGTACAGATGTAAATGAGGCATGGTCAATATTTCAACATGTTTTTATCTCAAATTTGAATATGATAGCGCCACTGAAACGGATAAGAATAAAACAAAGATCAGAAACTTGGGTGACTAAAGATATTCTTTCCCTAATTCAAGAGAGAAATATAGTATACAAAAAATGGAGGAAAAGAGCAAAAGATGAGAAGCTCTATAAAAGATACAGAGTATTAAGAAATATGGTCCAAAGAGAGGTGAAAAAGGCTAAACTCGATTACTTACAAAACAAGATAGAAGAAAATAAACAAGATTCGAAAAAACTTTGGCAGAATCTAAAAAGCTTAGGATTGAAAAATAAGAAGCGAAAAGAACAAGAATCTGTCATTAAAATTGATGGGGAATTATGTCATGATAAGATGGCCATCGCTGATGAATTCAATTCTCATTTCACAAATGTGGCTGCCAAATTAGTAGACAAACTCCCCCCTTCCAAAGACTTTTTCAGCGCAGACAATGATTGTATTCGTGACTTTTACGAAAGAAAAGGTGTACGTGAAAACAGCTTCGAGTTATTACCAATCAGTGAACAATTTGTTTTCAAAGAGTTACGTAAGTTGAATGTATCAAAAAGTACTGGGTTAGACTTGATTCCAGCTAAATTTCTAAAAGATGGTGCGAAGGTTTTATTTAAGCCTCTAAGTTACTTAATGAACCTATCTATCTTGACGAGTACTTTTCCAGAAGATATGAAAATAGCAAAAGTGACTCCACTTTATAAAAAGAAAGATAAAACTGATGTTAGCAACTATAGACCTATTAGTGTTTTAAGCGTAGCATCAAAGATTCTAGAAAAATCGGTCTGTGTTCAAATTGAAAGATACTTCAAAGAAAATGATATAATTTATGAATTTCAATCTGGTTTTCGACATGATTATTCGACTGAAACATGTCTAATTCATTTGACTGATTATTTGAGGAGAGAAACTTCCCAAGGGCGCTTTGTTGGTATGGTGCTCCTTGATCTGCAAAAAGCTTTTGATACAGTTAATCATTGCGTCTTATTGAAGAAGTTACAACTAATGGGTTTTGATAAGGCAAGTTTAGATTGGTTCAGATCCTACTTATCTAATCGGCACCAAGTAGTGGCCATTCATGATATTCGTTCCAAACTAATGCCTATAACATGCGGTGTTCCTCAGGGAAGTATTTTAGGCCCAATTCTATTTTCAAGTTATATAAATGATATGTGTACTTGTATAAAAGACTTCAAACTATTATTGTACGCAGATGACAGCGTACTACTCTATTCAAATCCTGATCCTAATATATTGAGGAAAAGCTCAGTGAACAGCTGTCTACGTGTGTCGATTGGATGACTGATAATAAGCTTTCTTTACACTTGGGAAAAACAGAAAGCATTTTATTTTGTTCTAAAAGTAGTTCTAAAAAGTCATTTGAATTCAAAGTGAGACACAATAATCAAGCAATCAAGAGAAAAGAGTCTGTGAAGTATTTAGGCATTGAGTTGGCTAGCGCAATTTCATTTTCATCTTTAGTAGAATCAGTTGTAAAAAAAGCAAATTCTCGTCTGAAATTTTTGTACAGATATCAAAGTTGTATGGATTTAAAAGCAAGACGTACACTCTGTTTTGCTCTTATTCAATGTTTATTTGACTATGCTAACCCTGCATGGTACAGTAACATAAACAAGTCAGATCAAAAGAAGTTGAAGATTATACAGAACAAAATGGTGAGATTTATCAACTGTTCTGGTCCAAGAACTCATGTTGGCTATAGCGAACTTTCTAAAGCTGGTTTTCTTGAAGTCGACCAAAGATCAAAACAACTCGCATTGCATCACGTGCATAAAATATATCATACTAGGTCGAATCATTATATTCGATCCAACTTCGATCTTGTTACTGACGTACATGATTATAATACAAGAAATAGACGATTCAACTTTAACTTACCAGAAAGAGTAGGTAGTATTGGAAATTCGTTTTATTACAATGCCATAAAACATTGGAATTCCCTTCCCAATGGTGTAAAAGAAATAGGAAACTATGATCATTTTAAGAGGAAATTAAAGGAATACCTAATACTTGACAGTCAGAGAAGAGAAGTGAATGACATGTTATATGATTGAAATTGTTATTCTTCTGTCGGTTCATACTTTTTCATGTTGTATATACTTATGTTTTCGTACGTTATAGAAATTCTACAAATTCATCATTATTTTCCTCTTCTTCCTTCTCCTCTTTTTCTTCTTCTCCTTCTTCTTTTTCTTCTTGTACTTAATATCATTTCTATCATCAGTTTAATGTTGTTATTATTATCTTTGATAAGTAGTTCTTTTAATTTTCTTATCTGTCTGTAAATATTACTATTTTAATTTATTAATTGTATACATGTCTGTAAGGGACCCCACTGGAAATAAGCTCTCGAGCTTTCGTGGGTTATCCTGTTCAAGCTGACTTATTTTTGATCTGTTATTATTGTATATTGTTGTATGTTGGAAGCTTGTCGAATAAAAATCAATCAATCAAAGAGGGGGAGAAGGGAGTGGTGAGAAATAGAGAGAGAAAAAGGAGAAGGGGCGGAGAGAAGGTGTTGAGAGGGAGAGATACAGGGAGAGAGAGGGGGGAGAGAGAGATAGAGAGAGAGAGAAAGAGAGAGAGGGGAGAGAGAGCGAGAGAGAGAGAGAGAGAGAGAGAAGAGAGAGATGGAGGGGGGAGGGAGGAGAAAATGGGAAAAGACAAGGGGTGTATAGAGAAGGCGGGGATGACGCAGACGAAGCATACGGGTCAGTTGGGAGTAAAATACAACTGGATGAGCGAAAGAAAAAGAAGAAAGTCGAGATAGGTTTAATGAATGTAAAGGCAGCCGAAATAAGTTATAGTATTATGACGGACACGGTTTGCCACCTTGCTCGACACGGAATATTTGTCAGGATGTCCCGTGTCTGTTTAGGCGCTCTCCGTCCGTTTGGACAAAGTATATGCCCATAGCTTGATGGCTGGAGTTATTCACTGCTCACAGGCTAGGCGTATCTCAACAATCATGCGTCCATCGACTACAATCGGCCACCCCAAACGTCTTGAGCACATCATCAATCAATTGAACATCCCTCGAGCAATCAATCATGCTTTGTCAACACCTGTCACTGATTCTCATCCCTTTGTCTAACCATAGACGTAATACGTCTATGGTCTAACTACGGTTTCACGATCACTGCTCTAAGAAATGAGACCAATCACGAGTTGCATGCCGAATTCTTTTAATAATGCGAACCAATCATGTACCAACCAAAATTCGGGGTATACTCAGAAACAAGTGCAGACTATGTAAAACTCAACTAAAGGCCAGCGCCAGCCTCGGTGAGGCTGGCCTGTATCGGATACAGAGCAGTGGAAATCCCTAATTACACAAACCTGGGCGCCCAACATTTTCCATATACTTAAATGTATAAAAGGGCAATTATGTCCTCGTTAGTAAACAACACTTTAACACAACATTTCTGCTTATTCCATTAAATCACCAAACATAATCTTCAGTACAACCCATTATTCTTGATTAGATAACTTTCATACAAATAATATCCCAAAAACAAATATGATAATTGCACCAACATGATTTAAATATGTAATTTATGCTCATTTTCCTTCATTTAGTAATTGCTAAATCAACGATGCACCATATTGCTATAGCGCATGCGCGTATATGCGCGCACAACAGAAAATGCTTAACCTTCATCCAATACTAAAACACTGATTTGTTACAGTATAGATAATCAGTGATATACAACAAAGCAGCGCAGTACTAAAAACATCATTCAGAACAGTGTCAGTGGTGTTTAGTTATATAGGCCTACCAGAGGCGTACGCAGGGGGGGGGGGGGTTTGGGGGTTCAACGCCCCCCTTTGGTATTTTTATGTGTGTAAACCCCCCTAAAAAAACTAAACCCCCCCCCTTTTTTTTTCTTTTTTTTTTAAATTAAAAAAAAGTATGCCCACGGCTAACGTAAAGTGACCTCACCCCCCCCCCCCCCAAACGAAAACAATTTTCAAATTTTCAAATTTCGAGACCAAAAAAAAAAAAAAGTGTCCGCTTACCCCCCCCCCCCCCCCCCCCCCCCCCCCCCCCCCCCCCCCACTGAGCGACTTTTCGGCCGGCGCGATTTTCAAATTTTCGGGGGCAAAATATTTTGGGCCAGATTTTAAACCCCCCCCCCCCCCCTTGACAAAATCCTGCGTACGCCCCTGAGGCCTACATTATATCAAAATCTACAATGTAAAGAAAAGATTAGTATACAATGCCATACACATAAATTCAAACACGCGGAACTACTGTTTTTACTGCTACTTCATACACTTACCCCTAAAATACTATCAAACTAAATACATGCTACAATTTCACTTTTTAATGATAATATTGTTTATATTTCTTTAGTACTATTTCAACAGGGTTTATATTTAACAATAAATTGATAAAATAATGATTCTAATTCAAAGTGTCCTATCCCTAAATCTGCGCACCTGTGTCGCTGTTGGTAGATCAAAGTAGACTTCTAGGTCAAATACAACTCAATTTTAAATCAAATCAAATCAGTAATTGAGTATTAATGCAAACATAAGCATGTTTATCATTTCACATGGACGTTTTTCTAAGACACTGTGTCAATTTTAACTGAAAATTTCTATTGGGAAACTCATCATTGTCACATTAACTCAGATACACAATGTTACAAGTTTGCTACAATTATAATCTGACGTGAGTTTGTGCATGCATGTGCGAGTGTGTGTGAACACCATAATATAATGATTGAGATAATCATGAGATTTAATTATACATGAAGTTAAAAGCTTCCTAATAGTAGGCCTGATTCCACCTACTTTCGTGTTCTAATTCTTGTGATAAAATTTCAAACTCCTTTAGCAATCGGACCTTTTGAATAAAGTTCATTTGTATTTGAATTTCATTTGTATATGAAATTTTAAAGATGTAAACATTAAAATACAGCGATTATGGATATGCAAAACAAATTCATTTTTGCTACTCAATGTGATTGGAAAATAATGGTTATTCTTTGTAATGAACAAGATGATAGTACAGGTCTAACATTAATGCTTTCTCGGTTGATATCTTTATTATCTATTTTTTCATCTCTGTTTTATTTGAAAATTATTTCATGTATTTCGTAGAAGATGACGTCAGAGGTCATTGTTCCGTTGTGCTTAGTAACCGATGCAGATATCGGAGGCATCATAACCAGGAATGTCACCTGTAAAGATAGAGACAAAAATTAAGCTTTATGTCGTTTTTTTTCTTTCTGTTATTAGATTTCATTACAAAGTATAGACCCTGAGGATGGGGGGGGGGGGGGGGTCATAACGCTGCCTGGTACGTATAATTATGTAGCCCCTTGTACATAGAAGTACTGGAATTTTCATTGGTTTAAACCACGCATCCCCGCCCCCCCCCCCCCCCCCCTCCCCCCCTCAGTACCTCTCATGAGGGCGTTTTACTAAGATGAACACAGGCACAGCCAGAGTTATCATGCGGGGAGTCGAGGTAAAGCACAAAACGACAAACTAACACGGATTTGCTTGATTGGTACAGCGTTTTAAATGTTCCAGCGACAAAATTAATGTCAAATCAATTGAATTGAAACTCAAACCGCATACCCCCCCCCCCCCTCCTCCTGTCCATTACACAAATTCTTACAGCTATAAGCAACTTACGAATTCATCAGTCATTCACAATGAAACATTAACAAATAATTATTCAATGAAAATTATGATAAAATCAAATCATCTTACCATGCTCGTCGACGATATTCTGACAGATCGTGTCGTAACGGCTGGTCCCGACGAGTCTACTGAATGCATCGTCCCACCAGCGGACGAATTCTTTGTTAGCCTTTGAAGTCATCATACTTCCACCACCCGCTACGCAGATATTCGGAAAGTCCGCGGGAGAAATAGTTTCCAGGGCAGCGTCAAGTTGGGGAAGTCGGGCACTGAATGCGACGTCGACCTTTAAAGCAAAAATGCAAGATAAATGTTGTGTTAATTGACTGATTGCTAATTTTAAAAGTGCAAATAAAGCAAGTATATCTATGCTTTTGATTTGGGAGAATGTGGATTCAAGTCTTTATAGAAATATATAAGCACACTTAATCTCAGTTAAAAGTGTTTGCGATTGTCTATGCGCATGCATAAATAAATAAATTAAATAAATATAAATAGTAGTGATATACTACCATTCTCAATTCCCAATCAGTCACTATAACATCACTACAAATAGTCACCGCAATCACCACAAGTCACCAACATTCACCGATACAATCACTCAATTAACTTAACAATACATCATCACCATGCACCTCCACTAGTCTCCACCAATAACGGTAACCATCACCACCAGTCTCCACTATAAGTAGCCACTCCCACCGGTTGTCATTCATCATGACCATCCCCACAACCATAACACCACCACTACCACCACCACCACCACCAGTCTCCACTACCACCAGTCTCCACCACCACCAGTCGCCACCCCCACCGGTTGTCATTAGCGAGCTTTAGATTTTGACACCGAACGAACTCGACTACGAGTGACGTCATTATTAAGCTCGTCGTTGAATCTACATTGGGTCTCCTCTTGCTAGCGCTTAAGATCGATTGTCACCCGACGCGGTGCCAATGTTTAAATGCATGCGCAGTGATGCGCAGTGATACGCAGTGATATGCGCGTGACAAGTTTTCTTTGTTACGTCATAGTTAGTCTGCACAGCTGTTCGAACCTCAGCTGTGCAGAAAACTCCTTAATTTCTTCAAAAAAGTGAAATTAAATAGGTTGAAGTAACGTGATTGATCAAATTCAAAGGTATTTGTTGTTTTCATTGCAGTCACAAATATCTTTTTGAATTATATTCTCAACAGATACTGTTGTCTGATGGCTGGCTTCGGCATTTGTGTCCAGCTCGTAGTCGTTGTGATCACTTCGAGATAAGCCTAAAATTTGCTCGAATCCCGACGGGCTAGAAGCAGGTGGCGCATGCGCAGTTACTCAAAGTGACGTCACTCGTAGTAGAGGTCGTTCGGTGTCGAAAATCTAAAGCTCGCTATTCATCACGACCATCCCCACCATCACCACCACCAGTTTCATCTGTCAACACTATCCCAAATCACCACCACTATTCTTTCACCACCATCATCACTTGTCCACGCCAACTCTACCACCTCCAAACACCCCTACCAGTCAAAACCACCACTACTTTCACACACCCACCACCACCACCACCACCACCACCACCACCTCCATCACCACCACCACCACCACCACCACCGCCGCCGCCGCCGCCATCACCACCGTCGCTACCACTCCATTCATCATTACCACCATCACAACTAACGGGCACTTTCCGTAAGAATGTTTTCTACCGAGACTTGGGAAGAACACATTCTTATGTGTACCGGAGATATCATTGAAACACATCAAATCTATGACACCCATATTGGATGTTTCCATGTTTGAAACCAAAATGAACATACCCTCTTAGACAGATTAAAATGATAAGACTTACATCTCCATTCTGCACGGCGGCGATCAGGTCTTTCGCGGTAACGTAGGTGATCTTTTGGCTATCGGATGGCAGATCTGCTCCCTGTAAGTAGCAAGAGAATGGAAAGAAAAATAGATTTTATTTGAACAAACTAAAATTGAAACTTAAGTAGGTCACTTCGTAAATAGCCCGTGTACAAAATGATCCTCAAAATAATGTCAAGAGAACTGTTAAATATTAAGAAGTCCCGTTTTGTGCATTTTAGAATAACCACTGCAATAGTGATGCTGAGAATAACTTTCGTTTGCCCTCTTAAAAAGAATACTTCCAGTTGTATTTCACAGAATTTACTGTCATTAAAGTCTGTCAGTGCATAAATGAATAATGATTACATAACTTTCATGAACACGTATCCAGCATTCGTCTCGATGGGTTTTTACACTTTTGTGCAACTAGGAATGTAATTAAATTTCATGCATAGTCTTTGTAAATTGCCTCATTACGAATGATTTTATTCACCTGTTACGAGACATGAAATAATTTATTCAATGGTCAGATTGCGAAAGTTAGATGTAGATGAAACCATGGAGACGATAGAGAGGGATGAATGATTGGGAGGGGAGATAAGGAGAGAGATCTATAAGATAACATGATTAGAAAAGGGTTAGGAGAAGAATACAAAAAGAAGGGGAGGGGGAGAATCGGGAGGAGGGAGGAAGATGAGAGTAGAAAAAAACGGAACGAAACAGTGAGTCGAAGCATAGAACTATTTGTAATAGGTCCATGGTAGAAGTTAGTTCTTGTATAAAATCTGTACAAGAATAAACATCACGATAATTATGTATCCATACCACGATGGGGAAGGACGAATCGGTGGTGAAACGAGACAGACAAGCCTCATCAGAGAACCACATTTCTAGGAAACCAACTTTGAGTCCTGAAAGATCAGAGTAATCCTGACTGCTTCCACTTTGGGCGTAGAGGGCGACCTTTCCCTTCTGGGAGAATGGTAGTGTGAAGTCGAAGGTTAGAAGACGATCATAGGTTTGGACCCATCCTAAGTTATAATGGAATGTAATAATATACATTTTGATTGTGCAGAAAGGAGTGTTCATTGTTAGTGCATAAAATCTAACATACCCAAATCCTCCTCTTAAAACGATGGTTCAACATAATGTACGATATTTGAAAATTATGATTGTTACCAATATGAAAATTAGTCGTAATGTTGTGTTTGAAAATGTATTTTAACCAAACTCCCTGGAATTATCAATCTTGATTTTCACAACATTTGGGCTTTAAAACTGAAACGACATTTCTATTACCCATGATATAACTTTAAAACAAAACAACAACAAAATGATCACATTAGGCGTTTGATAATTGGACGGCAAACGTTTTTCATACGTCATTAACTTGTGTTTTGCTTTATAGTCTGTTATTGCCTTAAAGTTTCCAAGTTTCCTTTTCCCATTAGAGCTATTTGTAAATATATTTTGACTGCAATGCGTACCTTTATATAATGAAGGTTATTTGGGTAATTTTGATAATCTTTTGCAAAAATTAATGAACTCAAGCATTTCAGAAGATATAAAACATAAACAATCATTAATGAGTATTGATTCTTACCTGTGCATGCGGTGTACCATTTGGCCATCAGACCGACTCCGCCGTGGGCTCTCTCGTTTGATCGGCTGTACCAACAGTTACTGTACAAATCCCATACCAACTCACAGTTCTTGTTGGCTATGTCACAAACTGAAAGTAAAACAGAAATGTCCATACTTTATATTATTATTTGATAATGGAATTATTCAGTTATATTTCATTTATTTATATATTATAGTACCCTTTTCCCCGCCACCCCCCCCCCCCCCCCCACTCAGTGTTAGTTAGGGTACGCATAATGCTTGTTCCCTCTTTTTGAATGCACCCCCTATCTGAGGACTGCCAACATTTCCGAACCCCCCCCCCCCCCTTTCGCGGGCTTTTCGCGGGCTTTTCCTGCCTTGGAGACCCCCCTAAATCATGAAAAATGCTCAATGTACCCCCTAAATTCGAAATAATTTCTCAGGAGTCCAAAGAGATGAGGGAAAAAAAACAAAAAAAACACCCCCTTTTTAAAGAAATCTCCGGGTGAAAAGTTAATACACCTCTTTTTTTACAATTCTCGGGCCGGACTTTGCCTCACGAAAAGTACCCCTTTACCGGACATTTTGGTAACACGCATGTGGTCCGTCCGTTCTCGGAGTGGGGGGGGGGGGGGGGGGGGGCTTTTCAAAGCGAATGTCGCTCTCGCAGGGGGGTAGCCTTTAAACAAGGCCACTTGTCTGATAGACGCCGAGCGACTAAAACGAGACTAATCGCGAAAACCCAAGTGAACGCGAGATCGAGGAGCCAACAAGGCCACTTGTCTGATAGACGCCGAGCGACTAAAACGAGACTAATCGCGAAAACCCAAGTGAACGCGAGATCGAGGAGCCCATCCTAGTGGCCTTTATCAATCTGATTTGGATTTCTTATGTTAACCCTTGTTTCCGACTGGAATTCGCTCCAGAAAATAGAGCGTCCAATCAGCGAACGTATCCTCGCACGACGTCAGCATATAGTATCCATCACACACACACACACACACACACACACACACACAGTAAACTCTACGTAGTGCGAACATGGACCTACATGCTATGAACTATTACGTACGTGCTAAGACCACTGACCTCTACATGGAACGAATCAAGAACGAAGCCAACTGGGAGATCGCCGTTCTGATTGGTCAATAAATCCAAAGTAGGCGTATTGGCATGTTAATATGTATCTATGAATAATTCATGCGCAGCAGTGAAACCCACTTTTCAAAAGGCCTCGTGACGTTCCGTCACTCGGTCGCGCGTTCACTCCGGGTATCTAGACTCATCTCAGCCGCTTAGAGTCACGAGGCCTTGTCAAAAGGCTAGCAGGGGGGCCGTGTATGTACAATTAAAAAGACAACAAAAAAACATTACATAAAACATAACAATGAAAATGTAAGCATTAAGAACAAAATATTATGACCCCAGATTCATTTTGTTTAAAACAGGAATAAAGCATTGCTCTTTTAGAAAAAAAAATACTTTAAAATTTGATAGAATGAATATGATTTGCTTCTCAGAATGCATTTAAAATGGTAAGGTTTTCATATATCACGATAGACGATCTGCCTACAAACAAAATAAATGGCAGACAAATGTATTGGAAAACTGCAATCATGAGTATTATAAGCTTATCAACTCATTTAATAAACACGAGCGCAAGGACTTTCAAATAATCAACCTTAGGCAATTTCATTAGCCCTGTCCGTCACATATATAAGGGAGTTTACAGATAGCACATGGTACAAATGACCCCAAATATCCACAGATCTTTTACACATGGAGAAGTTCCACTTTGAGCATATTAGAATAATAACTGCCAAAGTCCTAGCTGTGCTTCATGAATACCTTTTATTTGCCCTCTTGAAAAGAATACTTCCACCTGCGTATCATAGAATGTACCGTTGGTGCATACATGAATAATGTTACATAACTTTCATGAGCGCATATCCAATATTCATCTCCTTGGGTTTTTACCTTTTTGGTACAAATGACCTTTATCTGCCCATACGCAGATTGTATCTGTAAACTTCCTTATTGCTATGTAAGAACATTACATTGATAGTCTGAACATGATTTTTACAGGCAGTACAATAGGACATTGAATTCGGATATGAATTAATTTGTTAAAAGTCTTTGTCATCGTGTACGTAGTGATGTTTCAAAGATTATTTTTCACAAGTTATTTTTTTACAAGCTCTGTAATTATTAGGATCTCTGTCCAGTAGTGCCGTGTTTGTGCCATCGAACTGGATCGACCAAATCAATTGATTCATAATATATATTATATGCAATATTTTTTTCCCGTAACATGAGAGTAATTTTAATAGTTTCATACTATTAATTAAATGTAATGTTAACTGTAATTGTATAATTGTTTTAAATGGGGGGCACGCTACAAGAGTCCTATCTCGCACCCCGGGGCAACGTATCTGACACGGCCGGTTGTAGCAACTACTCCGAAGATCAAGATTACATTGATCTTGATCTAAGGAGACACGAACGAACGGACAAGTTATCTTAAAGGCATAAATAGAATCGAGAGGTTTAAAAAAAAAGAACAAAAAGCAAATTAGAAAATTTGCACAAAGAAACAAAATGTCGGAAAGAAGTGATGCTGAATTCTATTTCAGTAAAGGTAATACATTTCATATTATGTCTTTCCGCTATATTACTCTTTCATGCTCGTCTGTTGTGTTGTATCGTACGTGAAATTTGATCACAAACAGCGCTCAAAATACACGGGGGCGATGGGCAATTCGCCCCCGTGAGCTCCATAATCGCCCCCGTCAGGTTGTCCACGGGGGCGATTGCAAAATTAAAAATCGCCCCCGTGGAATTATAAAATAAAGATTATCTTTTCTTATATAACTTTAACACAAAATTGAGTATCAATTTTCAAACCTTAAACTAATGAAATGGAACTTAGATGGCGCTTTCTCTCCCATCTCTATGAGTATTACCGATACAAACAACGGAAGCTCGCAGTGCAGCTAATGCGACCGTCAGCAGTGGCTATACTGCGCCGGTAGAACCGGTGTGCACGCTGACGCCCAATATCTGCTGGAGCTGGAGACGATCGCGCAAGGACTGAAACATGGAGAAGTTTTTCGTTGTGAAAAGTGTGAATCCTCTGAAACCTGGTTGTTCTAAAAGACCAGCAAATGATGTAACTCGACCAATAAATCAATATTGAGAAGAAGATCAGCAAAGCTGTTGCAGGGGCGGATCTAGACGGTTTAGGGGTTTAACCCCCCGATCCCCCTTGGGTTGCCTAGTGAAAATGTGATGTGTATAGGAAAACGCTATCATGTAGTAGTAGATGTCAGTAGATGCCAGGAAAACAGTAATAACGGGGGTTCAAAATAGCAACAACAAAAATCGCCTCGCCCCTATGCGGCTCGTGGACGATGCTCCACATCGTATTTGGGTTACCCCCCCCCCCCCCCCCCCTTAGCAAAAAGCTTGATCCGCCCCTGTGTTTTGGAAGGATATGGTAAAGCATGTAAATAAGGTTGTTCCGAATAATGAGGACATTATAATTATGTGCAGAACGGGAAGAAATGGAGAGAATGTCATCACGGGCAGGCGCGGATCCAGCATTTCTTAAGGGGGGGGGGGGGGGCAAATTTGAAATTATGCGAGCCAAATATTGGTACGTAATGGTGACCAGCATTGACGTAATGAGGGGGGGGGTGCAGGGAGGGGCGATTTTCCCACTCCCTCCTCCACAAAGCGCCGAAGCTTTGACGTTTCATTAAATCATTAGTGAAAGAAGGCGATTCGTTGCCCGTTCTCGAAAATAATCCTCGTCTGAATTCAGTTTTACCCCCCCCCCCTCTTGCACGAAGCGCGGAAGCTTTGACGTTTCATTAAAGTATTAGAAAAAGAAGACGATTCGTATTACCATTCTCGACTCGTAATCCTTGTCTGAATTCAGTTTCCCCCTCGAGCGCGATATGCGGAAGCTTTGACGTTCCGTTAAATTATTAGAGAAATAAGACGTTTCGTTGTACCGTTCTCCAAAATAATGCTCGTCTGAATTCGTTTTACCCCCCCCCCCCCCGTCCGCGCGAAGCGCGGAAGCTTTGACGTTCAATTAAATCATTAGAGAAAGAAGACGATTCGTTGTACCATTCTCGACTCTTAATCCTTGTCTAAATTCAGCCCCCCCTCTTGCACGAAGCGCGGAAGCTTTGACGTTTCATTAAAGTATTAGAGAAAGAAGACGACTCGTTGTACCATTCTCGACTCTTAATCCTTGTCTGAATTCGGTTTCCCCTCCCGCGCGAAGCGCGAAAGCTTTGACGTTTCATTAAAATTATTAAAGAAAGAAGACGATTCGCTGTACCGTTCTCGAATCGGCTCAAGGGTTTTAGGCACTAAATTACGGTCAGATGAGTATTCAGGGGCCCGCCTTAGGGCCCTCGGTTGGGTCCAGGGCCGGAGTCCCGGAAGCTCAGGGGTTTTAGGCGTTTAATTACGGAAAATATCTTATTTTGTTGTGACACTGGCAGGTAACTATTTTTTCTTTCTTGCTCTCTTTCTTTCCACTTCTCTTTATATACTATTTCAAAAAGAGTGGAGGGGGGGGGGGAACCTCGAGGCTTCCGATCCCCGCCGTTCCGCGGGCCCTGACGTGTAGGCCCCTAGGCATCTCAATAAGCATATTTCTTGCCTGGCTGTAAATTTAGGAATTTGTCATTTTACAACAAACGCATAAAAAAGTATAATTACTAAAAATCTCGGAAAATTATGTCATTTCAGCATTATTGTGTAATCCACCGTAATGGAATTAGAAATAAACCACGTTTGAATTTTATTTCCCCCGAGCCCCCTCCCCAATCAGTACGCCAGTGCCCCCCCCCCCCTGATTTACACTTTGTTGGCAACTGATCTCCCCTACCTTTTTTCTTTCCCTTTCTCTCCTCTTTCCCTTTCCCTTCCCTTCCTTCTCTCTCTTTTAGGTTTGCTGGGGGGGGGGGGAGGCAAGGTCCTTTCGGCCCCCACCCTTCTCCACACGTTGCTGGCGGGATTAAGCGCAACTGATCTATCTCCCCTTCTTTTCACCCTTTTTTTTCTTCTTCTCCCTCTTTTTTTGGTCCCTTTTAGCTCTCCTTTTTTCCTTTTCCTTCCTTCTCTCTTTTTTTAGCGAGGGCGGGGGGAGGGAAAGGCCTTTTGCCCCACCCCCATCCCGATCCGCAACTGGTTGGCGGGAAAATTGCAACTGATATCCCCCTTCTTTTCTTTACTTTTTCCTCAATTTTACTTCCCTTTATAACCTCTTCAGTGACTGGTCCCTCTGAAACTAGTGCTAAGCCAGTCACAGAGAATTCATGATTTCAACAAAATGCCTGTCAGTGCATTGTAAATTTGATTTTTCTTCACATTTCATTTAAAAATCTTTTCATATTTGATAAATATGGTGCATTGGCATATGGGCTATGGTTGGAGCGTTGAATGCGTTGAACAGCGTCGGCGTATTATGTGGATTTATCATATTCTTTTCTGAATATTTTCAGCGAATTGAATAATATTGAAAAGGATGCAATTCATAGTTGTACTCGATAATTCTCACTTAACATTTTCTCTCTCTCTCTCTCTCTCTCTCTCTCTCTCTCTCTCTCTCTCCCTGTCTTGCATAAAGAAAATATGAAAATAATATTTTGCCTTGATTAAGAAAAATTGAAAATTTTATCAGTATTAAACAGGGAGAAGAAAAGGGGAGGAAATTTATCAAAACAAACATTGACGAATCCAATTCAGTGTTCTTTCGTGATACATAAGAATGAAAGTACATACAAAGGTGAAATAATAAATTGAAGTGCGATGATAAATCAATTCTTTGACTTTGTTTGATAGAATAAAAAATAATGAAACAATATGGTCTGAAGGTCATATATCTTCGAATATCAGAAAGTTTGATCCACCATCGTGTTGTTGAACACTATTTGCAATTTAATTTTAATGCGGTGACTTGTCGGTTACGAGCAGAAGGTCATTTCAGGCTTCTATATTCTATAATACTATCAACATATATCTGGATAGAGACACTTCGTCACATCAAGCTACGAGAAAGTATATCATCTCACAGAATTCTACTCGAACACCGCATCGAAATTCTTTTCACCCTTTTTTTTCTTCTTCCTCTTTTTTGGTCCCTTTTAGCTCTCCTTTTTTCCTTTTCCTTCCTTCTCTCTCTTTTTTTTAGCGGGGGTGGGGGCGGGGGCGGGGGCGGGGGGAGGCAAAGGCCTTTGCCCCACCCCCATCCTCAACTTTTTGGCAGGAAAATGGCAACTGATATCCCCCTTCTTTTATTTACTTCTTCCTCAATTTACCTTCCCTTTATCTCCTCTTTTCCTTTTTTCTTTCCATTTCCTTCCTTCCTTCTCTCTTATTTTTTTTTTATTGGGGGGAGGCATTAGCCTGGGAGGCAAGGCCCTTTCGCCCCCCCCCCCGATCTCCTTCTTCCCCTTTTCTTTTCTTCTTCCTCTTCTTTCTTCCCCTTTCCCTCTTTTCCTTCTCTCTCTCTCTCTCTCTCTCTCTCTCTCTCTCTCTCTCTTTGCGGAAGGGGGGGGGGGGGGGGGTAAGGCCCGCTCACCCCGCTGGATCCGCGCCTGCATCTACCTTATATCTACTAACGTTAAACCCTTATAATGGATCTAGAAGATTGATTGACCTGGTCTCAGTGACGGGTAAACTTTTTTTTTCAATTACTTGGTTTAACCATGAAAACCGTCTAATTTTACTTTAGATTTTCAAACAGTAACAGTTACGACCTAAATTAGGCCTAAAGCCAAGGCCCTCCCCCCCCCCCCCCCCCCGACTGGATCCGCCACTGATCACGGGGATAAAAGTATACAGCTATGTAACAAATCTAAGAGGGAAAATGCCTACTATAATTAAATGATAATGATAAAATACCAAGGAATTTTGGAGTTTCATGGGTACCAATCCAATGGAAATTTGTATTAAAACCAGAGCCCCCGCCAGCATTAAAAGAGCCCCGTGAGAAGGCTCCCGGGGGCTCTTTTTTGTTGGAAGAGCCCCCGTGAACAAAAATTTAATTTGAGCCCTGATCACAAAGATGTAAAAATTCCTCGGATACCTGCATCGATGATGTCGGCATTGTATCCTTTGATCTGATGTGTTACAGGGTCCCTGAAATAAAAGAAAACAAAAAATGAAGTGGAGAATTGGCTTTGCAAAGAAATCAATGCATTAAGGTAACTATGAAACACATACAAAAAATAGAATTTAAGAAGGTAAAGAAATTGTTAGCAAATATTGCTCGGTATACAGTAGTTCTAGTATAGGGGTCAAAGATAAAAATATATCTGAATGACTGAAAATCATAATGATGGAAAGACAGAAGCTTTTTTTCTTCTTTTTTCCCTCGAAATTAATTGTTTATTCTGTGGGCTGTTGGTCTACTTGGATGTCCAAGTTTATCACGCTCAGTCTGTCATTAAAATTAAATCTTGGGAGTAACTATATTTCCATCTATTTGATTACATCCCAGACCTGCATACTGGGTACAAAATATAGTCACATATCTTTAGAAACGAGTGTTTACTTACAGATATTCCAATCGGTTGTCATAGTCACTAACCGCGAAGAGCCAAACCTCATCATCAGAAGCTGTAAAAAAGTAACAGAGGAAGATAGAGAGAGAGAGAGAGAGAGGGAGAGAGAATGAGAGAGAGAGATAATAATAAAGAGAGAATGAGAGAGAGAGAAAAAAAAATAATGAGAAAGAGGGACAGAGAGAGATGAGAAAGAGAGAGAGAGAGAGAGAATGAGAAAGAGAGAAAGAGAGAGAATGAGAGAGAGATAATGAGAAAGGGAGAATGAGAGAGAGGTAGAGATAATGAGAAAGAGGGAAAGAGAGAGAATGAGAGAGAGAGAGAGAGAGAGAGAGAGAGAAAGAGGGAGAAAGAGAGAAAGAATGAGAAAGCTGTTTAATAGGAAAAACTCTTTGCAATATTTGATTTATAAATACCTAACAATATTAGGCTTTTGTGTCCAACTATATTATTTGGTCGAATCAATTTTATCGCCCAAATTAGATATTAGAGAAGATTATTATCATAAAATGTAATGCACAATTTGAGTTTGATGCTTGAAATGGGTAGGTCTAATGTTTGTGACACAACTGCAATAATTGTAGCCAATTTGGCAACCCATAGGCCTAATGATCTGTGGAAAATAAACTCAAAATCATGAATAGAATTTCGGTTTGATAAACGACAAATCATACATTTGTTATAACTTTAGTTTCTTATTCATTTCTTATTCGAATCGTATCATTGTTATACCAATCAGTCCGTGACTCGTTTGGTTGAACAAAAGTGTTAGTAGGAAATCTTTTTTTTTTTTTTTTTGGTCCCAAAAATCTCGTAACGACTCAGCCAGCCGTTGAATAAGCGGGAGGGGGGGGGGGGGGGGGGGGGGGGGGGGGGGGGGGGGGGGGAAGAGGACATTTTTTTTTTCTCGCAAAATATCTCCATAATTTGAAAATTTGGTCGGTCGGTATTGGGGTGGGGAAAGGTCTGTCATTTTTGGTCACCAATTACCACAATTTTTTTATTTTTATATAAAAAAAATATAAAAAAACGCTTCGAGGGGTAATTTTATATGATTTTGTGAAAAAAACGTTATAATTTCGTATATATACAGTAAATATATATCATACCGAAAAAATTTGCAGGGGGTGCTATGCCCCCCCTGGAAAAATTCCGGGGGTGCTGCAGCACCCCAGCACCCCGCTTCCCAGGGCCATGCTGTACCCCAACTCCGACTTGGGTTAAAATAACAATTCATAACATAATCACTGACGATTTAAATAATATGATAACAATACTAATACTTAAGTGTAGGAAATCTTTAAATTGATTGATTATCCCTTTCTGTTGAAGGGAATACAGCATTTAAACTCGAATGCCATAAACGTCGAGAGCTGTACCCCAATTTCGAAGGTATAGGATAACTTGGATTAAAATAACAAAACATAGCATATTAAATCACTGACGACGTAAATAATCTAACAATAATAACACAGATTATTTTATTTGGGCCTGCACATGCAAATGCCCGATCTCTCGATGTTATTTTTGTTTTAAGTGATGTGGTTTGCAATAACAGAGTATTTTTGGAGCTGCGCAAGTTGTTTTGTGAGACTTGAGTTTTAACAGTCTACAATATATGGGGCTTGACCGATCAGTGCTTTATATAGCCGACAATCAACAGAATCTTGAATGATATTCTTTATATTAATACATCAATTTTATCAGTTTCTGAATCCCTAAGCTTCTCAGTGCAGTATTTTTGTGGTTTATAAAACCAACTTTTAAGCTGTGCATCACAGTGAGTGACATAAAAGAATAGTCTAATCTAACTTATAGTTCTTCGTCTATTTCCTTCTTCCCCATTTCTACTTTTCTACAACAGTTTACTCCTTTCTTTTTCTCTATCTCCCCCTATTGTGTCATTAAGTAATTCGTCATTCATTGTATTCTTCTTGCATGTGCTAGTTCTACCTTAAGAAACAAAATGTTCGTATTTGTTATATTTTGCAAATGATCAGTAATTCATTGTTATTTTCTTCTTCCATTTGAGCCAGCAAAAAATGTAACTATTCCCTCGAATTGTCTTGCCATACTTCCTTACCGCATACAACAAATCAATGTTACCATGTACGTGATGTAATAGATTTTAAACACTTTATAGGAAGAGTCTGTAATATCATAAATCAAATGGAAAAGAGATAGAAACGAAAAATAAAAGTAGTGTAAATGTGAGGAATATGAGCACATCAACTAGCTGATGTACAACCTTGCTCTCATTGCAATTAAGGATCAATAAATACAAAGCCAACTCTTGATGTTATAAAGCGGGGTCGGATGCATAGAGAGCAATTCTGTGCCGGAAAACATAATCTGCGTTATTCGGTTTGGTTATATTTCCGTATAAAAACATGTACATGCATCATTAATATTTTTTAAATAGTGACGATTATGTAAAATGAAATGAATACGACTGGGTTTCTCTGTTCGGAGCTATTAATTCAATGGCTCTGTTCTTCCTCGATGTCCAGAAAGAAAGAACGGAAAGAAAAAGAAGAAGGAAAAAAAAAATAAACATGCATGAACATAACAAAACATTTGGAATACACATATTTATTGTTGTTATACATGTAGAAATATAACACACAAATTGGCCCATTACAAATATATATGCCATTATTTGTACTACACACTAAGAAATAGGGGTACATTTGGGGTGCAGATTACGCGTAGTTGGCCGAGGGTACTAATCTGCTCCATATAGGGCGCATATCTGGCATTCAAGAATTTGGAGGGTGCAGAATGTGCACCCCACTAGTCTTTATCAAAGCATTATGAAATTATACTGTAGTTTGAAGATTGATCTGTTCTCAAGTCTGTGTATATATTTCAAGAACAACATAACACAACAATAAACAATATTATACCCTTTTTATGCATCGCTATTATTATTCCATGGAAAATCATGGACTATAAGTTTTATGAAACAAGTTTAAGTCAGTCGATCTTTTGCAGAGACTTTTAATTCCGTTCAACTGCCGAGTTTAATGAGCGAGTTCGTAGTTAGATTTAAAAAAATGTATACAAACCGTATAACAAGGACTGGACTTCTAGTTATGCCTATCCATTGACTAAAATAAGTAGTTTCACTTCACTTCCTGTTAAAATTATTTCAATCAATGACAATTAATGCTGCCACTGTGCCAGCTGTAAATTCACCTTCACTATCCTGCTTGCCCAGTGACATCATAAGCAGTGCTGATGTCCTCTTGGCAATGCCAATGGGCTGTTTATTCCATTACAGCTAGAATGTGTTATAGGGAACAAGGCAGATTTATTTGGTAAATTTGCATGGTCATTGAGATTTTAACCTTAATTAAGGCAATTATTTAATATTCTTCCTTTCTTGGTGGGGGGGGGGGATTTTGAGACTGTGATTTTTTTTTTCTCCCAAGGAAGAAGAAATATTTCCCTGCCCGAATAGAAACCATTATAATTTTTGTTAACATAAAATATTTTTCTCTCTTTTTACAATCAGACTATCATCATGGGAGAATTTGTGCTGTTATTGGGTGCTCGAACAGTACATTCAAGCTTGATAAATGGTACTCATAATTGTGTGACAGACATGGCCTGAAATATGGGGCCTGCGTATGCACACCACCTTTTGTACCATTCCCTTTTCCTTTGCAAAATAAAGATGCAGACGGCCGTCGGCGAAGGATAAAGGCGATAAATCGAAAACGTCCAAATGGCAAAAACTGGGAACCAACGTATGGAGATAGGGTTTGCTCATATCACTTTCGAGATGGACAACCTAGTGCAGCGTGGCCAGACCCAACAATGAATCTGGGATACAGCTCAGCACACCATAGTCTTCACATAAATCTCCTCGTCTGCCTCCAAGAGAAAGACCTCAGTGCCCAGAAAAGAAGAAATCAACAAGTAAACGGAAGAGAAAGATAGTCGACTTGCGGGTCGACTTGACAGGAGATCCTGACTCACATGATACCTCTACGGCTGAGGAGCACCAAGAAGTTAGTGAGACAGCTTCAAGTAAAGAAAAGAGAAAACCAACATGTAAACGGAAGAGAAAGGATGTCGACTTGACAGGAGATCCTGACTTTCATGGATCCTCTACTCTTGATGAGCACCAAGAAATTGATGAGACATCTTCAAGAATAGGGAGAAAATATCTGATCATATTGTTGGTGCACATCTCACTGATCACAATTATGGGCTATATTGTGATAACAGATTATGTACCTGCCTTGGGTGTGTTGCAAAGCAAAAACAAATTGAAGTTCTACAACAGAGGAATAGTCATTTACAGGCAAAGCTAAAAGCTGCAAAGAAACAGCATGGTAAGAAAGGTGATTTTGATATGACTATTGTTGTCACGAGAACTGATAAAACTGTCAGATTGTACTCTGGATTTGAATCCAAAAAGTCACGAGTAATATGTCCTTTCCTTTTATTCGTCTGATGAAAGGGACATAATGTTTCTGGTGATTTGTTGAACTATTTGATTGGAGCCAAGGAGCCCTATGTCTATATTAATTAAGAGAAGCAAACATAGGCTGTGCAGGAATACAGTAATTGTGCTAGTCAAATGCACGGGTATGAACTGGTTAGTGTTTATTTCTGTCTTGAGGCTAGCTTAACCTGATACATTTATTAGAATATCATATATTGAATGTACCTCTTTATATCTTGTATCAGGGCTGAACATTTATGAAATAAATAAAACATGGACATGTGAAATTGACTAACTACATTGTATGTATGTCGGGTTCCAAAGTATTACAAATTTACTGTTTTTCTATTCACATTTACAGGTGTATTTTCTTGGGCTATAGGAATACATTTTTTTTAAATAATTGAACTGTGCTATTTACCAAAGTATTGTATGTTTTGTGTGTGCTTATATTTTTATCAAGACAGAAAATAGGATTTTTGTATCCTTATGCAATAATAAAGCAACTAACTACATCTGATATGCAGCTCAAAGAGATATCTTGATCATGGGAATAGTTACATTTCTCATCTTATTTTCTGTTGTAAATAGTGACCGAGAGAGGTTTTCTTCTCCAAGCCGAAATCAGATTTCCGCATGTAGAACACGTGATCGGACTTACAATCGATTGTATCTCTTTCTGCAACGGGGCCCAGAAGTGATTCCTGTTCTTTTACTACTATAAGTTCCAATCGATGTGCATTCTAGTATTCTTGTATGTCCTGTAGAGTAGTATTAATTTAGTTTTTGTACAATATATTTGCTGTCCCCAAATTATTTGGTGGAATTGATGAAATAAATGAAGATAACATTTTCAGTAGTCATCTTCATTTATAAGAATAAATTGGTGTTGATTCCCTGACTAAAGCTGTCAAAGTTTGTTCTCTTGCCTTTACTTCATGCAAGAAAAGCATACTGTATTCAAAGGTATAATTGTAGATTTCACCTTTTTTGTACCTCAAATTAGAATGTTGATGTTTGCCAACAGCCCAACATGGTATATTACACGCACATTGTATTACTTCTTTATATTACTTGTTACTTTTGTCTAGATATTGCAGAAGGTAAACCGCATATATATGGCAACAGTGTCATATGTGATTATTTTTTCTTACCCACTATGCATAGTGGAAACTGAAACCGGTCATTCATGTTGTCAATAAATTGTGATTTTGATATGAAAACAAATTGTTTGATCTTATGATTGTATTGGTTATAATGTGATGTAAAGAGTGCATGTGCACCCTGCAATGTGCAATTATACACCATATAAAGGTTGCAAATCTGCACCCCTAAAGGTGCTTGCTTGCATCCCAAGGGGTGTATGTATGCATCCTTTAGGGAACATTGTGGACCCCAAACCCCTGCACCCTATATGGGACAAGTCTGCACCCCAAACTGGGGTGCAAACGAGCTCCTTTAGGGGTGCAGACCGCTGCTACAATAGCAGCCACCTATAGGGTGCAAGTCTGCACCCCAAATAGGGGTGCAATTTTGCACCCCAATTGGGGGTGCAAAATTGCACCCTATAGGTGGCTGCTATTGTAGCAGCGGTCTGCACCCCTAAGGGTGCTCGTTTGCACCTCTAAGGGTACTCTTTTTGCACCTCTAAGGGTGCAAGTCTGCACCCCAAATAAGGGTGCAATTTTGCACCCCAATTGGGGTTGCAAAATTGCACCCTATAGGTGGCCGCTATTGTAGCAGCGGTCTGCACCCTATAGGGTGCAAATTTGTACCATTATTTTTTAGTGTGTATAAAAACATCTCCTTTCGAACCCCCGCCCTATACCCAATTATATGATTATTGATGTACTATTATTACAGAGCACAATAGTCCTTATCCTGTAGTTATGTAGGTGGGGGCAACTACCAATGCCCCCCTCCTCCACACTCCCACATTACTCTCGGACGCTCCTGGATCATACAAATTACATGAAGCCAAGAAATTAGGCAACATACATAAATATATACTTACAATTAGCAGGCTTGAGGACCACGCCCACCGTGGCTGTGATGAAGGCACAGCACACCAGTAGAACCACCACACAGAACTTGTTGTTATTGTTGGACGACATCTTTAATCAATCTCCTCGAAATTTGGTTCCACCCTTTTAATTTTGTTTCACTGAGAAAACTAATGATATCAAAATGGTATATAGCGATGCTGTTATAACACAAATCGTTTGCTATGCTACAAAAAGCAACGTTAAATGGTTCCAAATCTATTAAAGCCACAGCTCTAGGAAGAGTGATCTGATCTTGCGCCCGACACTGGTCTCCAACTTGATGCAACTCCCTTCGCTAGCACAGATCTCAGCACTATAATTATAATGGGAGCTTGTTGGCGCACACAAAAGTTTTCACTGGGGGGGGGGGGGGGGGGGGGCACCTATTATAGCTTGGCACTTGTATAGGTGCATACGTATGATTGTGGCCTGAGCGGTGTTATAAGCATGGCTTATCATTATTGCGCAATGGAAGACATTATGGCACTGCGCATTTTTATTTGGTCTGGTAAGCGGATTTCGCAAATTTATGGGCAATCGCATCAGCTTTCTTTTTATATTTTGAACTAACGGTAGATAATTCGAAATAAGCGTGGAAAAGCATAATCTTACAGCAGATAAGAGAAAGTTTTTGTGTAACGTGAATTTTTTTTAGAGATGGTCGGACTCGTACGTCACGTGGAATGTAGGCTATCACACGCCATGTGATTTGTTAATTATTATTATTTTAAAATAAAACAAATGGTAGTTTATGATTCATGAAAATTCTCCATATATTCACCCTCTTCTCGTATTATGAATAGCGGTCCTTATGAGTACTGACCCCAATATAAATTATGAATAGCGCCCCTCTTCATATTTATGAATAGCGACCCCAGTTTCGTATATGAATAGAGATCCTTAAGAGTAATGACCCTCAATATGAATTATGAATGGCGACCGTTATCTCACATTATGAATAGCGCTCCTTACGAATAACGGTCCTTAATTATTAAAGCCTCTATGAATAGTGGCCCCTTTTCGTGATATGAATAGCGGTCTTATGACTAGCGATAATTCCGCCAAAGATCGTGGCAGAGCGTTTATAGTCCAATTATGGGGACGCACACCAAGTCTTATTATTTTTCCGAAGTCCCCCCCCCCCCCCTGACTGAAACCGCCAGTATGTATTGGGCATCAGTTTGAAGCCCCGTTTTGAAGAACACTGCTAAAAAAAATCGTTCAATATAATTTATAAGCTTCTGATGGGAAATAACACCAGCATCTTTTTAGGGCTTGGGAACCACTCAGTTTTTAAATGTGTTTGTTTATTCGCACCGCCACTCTACTTCTCAGAAGAGCGGACGATTAATCAATATGATCACTGCCGATACCTACAATAAAAGAGAAATTTATGCAAGTGTGCACCTGGAAGATAGTAGGCTTTTAATATTACAAACAAACGTCGAAGTGCGAGAAATCGACTTGGTAAGCAATTCAAGCAAGTATCTAGGAAGTTTTTAAGAGATTAGCTTTCTTTTCTTCCTTTAGAATTTGTTATCATGTTCACCGGTCAATACTAAATGGATTATAATTCTTCGCTTTGTAAAATTCGTAGGTAAATCTCTCTGGGAGCGTAATGAACGTTTATTTAATTCTGTTTTCCATTTAGGGAGAGAGAGAGAGAGAGAGAGAGAGAAGGGGGAAAGAAATAGAGAGAGAGAGATTACTCAGAGGCAGAGAGAGAGAGAGCGTGGGATCGGGAGAGGGGAGAATTATTTTCACTTAAAATTTTCCCTCATTTCACCCGTTTTTTAACTTCGAGCAAATTTTTATTATTAGATATGAATGTTTATGTTTATAATCAATACTTTTTTTGATGGGTAATAATACCTTAATACGAATAATGTCGTTTATCCATGGACTCATTAGTATTAATGAGGGCTCTGCAATTAATATGACTAAAGCAATAGACCAGCTCGGAATGTTATGAACCAGAGCAAAATAGGAAATCTATTTATTCAGATGATCATATCTCAGCCAATTCATTTGGTTTTCGACATTCGGACATTACTTTTGATACTCTTTCGTAAAATGAAGAAAAAAAATTGAGAAATTCCAAAAATAGATTTGTGATGACGTCACACTTCTCCACTCTATTTCAAAATTTGTTCTGCAAAGACCTTTATCTGCTCATGCTCAGACTGCAACCGTGATCGGGCTTATTGCCAGGTACCCATTATCAAAGGACATTAGAGCCCGGTTCAAATTGAAACCATCTCTAGGATTGACCTCGATGGGCCTCGCGATGTCATTTTTTTCCAGCATATCTAGAGAATAACAATAAAATAACATTTACTTCATGATAAATTAAAGAGGCGTTATAAAATGTATGTTATTAATAGTACATAAAATGTAGTGATGATTATTTTTCTTTTCTTCTTCCTGATATGAAATTAAATTCTTCACTTGGCGTTGCCCTCTAATTATCAAGTCCACTGTAATCTAACCATACCATTCATTACTTACACAACACTAACAAAAAGTCACTCACTCTAAATGGTTTTGTTCATAATTTATTAACTATAGAATGCAAGAAGTTTTTTTACAGTGCCCACTGTAGCATTCACTGCACAAACATCATAAAATATATATATATTCAGCACATAGAATTTTCCACAAAGTCAAATGTTGCCATACATTTAATGTGAAGGATAATAACATATATTTCGACATACAGGCAGTGCTAACCGTATAGTACATATAAATGGTATGTTCTTATAAATACTTAAGATGAAAGTCATATTATTTTACATGGAGATAATGCCCTCACTGCTAAGCAGAGGCTCACATCAAGGGTAATATTCTTCCAAGTGACACCAACAAGCGACAAAATATTGAACTCGATCAGAAATATTTCTACCTCTAATCATAATGAACAAAAATCAAGGTGTAAATTTCAGATTATCACATTTGACTTAAAAAGAAAAGCCGAAACAAGATTCTACATGCAATGGATGGATTGATTCAATCGAGATATTTCAAGGTATTGTGACATCATAACAAACTATTGACTACTTGAGTTTTAGCTTTTTATGAAAGATTGAGGAATTTTGATGGGATAAAAGTAATGTTATGGACTCAACTAGCTCTGTTTGGGAGTAAGAAGAATGTCAACTCGTGCCGTAACACAATTAATACCCTTCTGGCTCTGAACAGGATACGTATGCAAAATGATGTTGGTACAATAAAGGTACCGGTACTTCACAGAGCTGAGTTAAGACCAATAGATCATAAAATCAAGCTAGACATCACCCCATGAACTGGATGGGTTGGAGAGATGCAAGAGACACAAGTAACACTTCAAAGCTGGCAGAAATGAAACAAGAAAAAATAAATCATCTTGGCCCCATTGCATAAAACCTACCATTGATGGTAACTTTACCATCAATGGCAACTACCATGGTAACAGGGCTCAACAGCCAATCAAAATCAAGATTTCCATGGTAGTTACCATTGATGGCGAAGTTACAATCAATGGTCAATTTTGTGCAACGAGCCCTAGGTATGGTGAATTCTTCCATGATAAAATAGACATGAGTTAACTTTCCCCTCTGGGGAGGCAGTTGATGGGAACCATATTAAGTAGTCTCAGTGGAATAACCGTTGATAGAAGAGAATGAGACTTTCTGTCTGGGCAGGAATACACAATTTTGGAATGTTGAATATATATACAGAATATACTTCAAACACCTGTATAAAATATATAGTTTAAGGTATTAACTGACAACAATGCTCAACATAATATCATTGTCATTGTTTCATGAAATGAAATTCAATTTTGGTCCATTGGTAACCATCACTGTATATCATTGTATACAATTAAAAAAGATAGCAATAGCTTCACATGAATATCAATTTGAAGCTACAAGCATTCTTATCAAACAGTACTTTTTAGAATGTCATAAAAGGAAACACAACCTTAAAATGCATATACAATTATTATGATGTAAAAACAAAGTTTCATAACTTAGTTAAACTATGTATCCCGCCATTATTTTGTTCATCACTCAATCCAACTAATGTGAAAGAACATAAATCTGTTTGGTGCAAGTTGCTATCTTTGGATCGCTTTTAATTGAGAAATATACTCATGGCATTGATTACGATCATCATATCAGAGTGGAAATACAATGAAAATAAATGAACAAATTAAATCTACTTTCAATTTCAGAGGACACACAGTTACAATTTAAAGTGATCTAGACCTGGGGAAAATATAAATCTTGTCTCTTTTACATTCCCTTCAGCAGATATATAATATACATGAATAGTTGAAAGTCTATTAATACAGGCAGAAAAGTAACAAAACATTAACAGAAATATCTGTCTCACGTAAGACTACATTGTAAATGCACAAACCCCAACGGACGGTTCTATAGGGCAACTACTATTTAAAACATCACACAAAAGTTATGAAACTTTGAAACTTGGAAAACACTCCACTATCTTTAAAGAAAAATATGTTGCACCCAAAATAATGCATTTGACAAATAAAAAAACACAAAAACAAAACAAAACAGAAATAGCCAAAGTTCATAAAAGTGATCTACTAAGTTGGTCTTAATAAATGCAAAAACATAATAACATTAAGGAAACAGATCAGTAAGAGTTGATCATATGTTTGCAAAGTGAAAATTTTGCACATTTTAAGCATCCCTCCCATTTACTTTGTACTGGACCTGTCATAAATTTCAATTTTCTTTGTTGAATATTGATGGATTTTTCATACAGGGCTTGTGTAAAAGCATGTGCAATAATTATATTTTAAAGTGTCAGTGTAAATAAATATATTTTCCTTGCAGAAAAAGGAGATTTATGACCTTGATGTTCACATGGGTGGAGAGCAGCAACGAGGAGAAAATGACTCGCTCAACGATATGTCATCTATGGAGCCAGAAGGGCGTACGTCAAGTGTGTATAAAACCATTCCGTCTCCAAATTGACCATTTCAGTATTAGTACATCTAGTTGTACTATCAAAAACAAACAAACATACATAACGCCTTTCTACAGCCAGAAGGTGTTAACTCTAATACAGTATATTAATACCCTTCTCGCTCTATAACAGTCAATATAATCCTCATGACCTATGACCTTAATTAACATTGTATTTACCTTCAAAACAAAACTTCTCTCAAATAAAAACCTCTTTGATTTGCATTTTGAACATCAGACATTATTCTTACTTCACAATCATCTACATATAAGTGCATATAATTCACACAGGTTGCAAGAGTGGTAGAAATTCTTAAGTAATTAGCTTTCATATAGCTATAACAAACTGCTAGTACTGTGTTTTTAAAGTGACAGCAACTTGAAAACAAACACTCACACACAAAAAAGGAAAAACAAATTACCACTCCTAGATTTTTTTATAAACATGTACCGGTATGCAGAATTGACATCGCTCCTAAATTCAAAATGAAATTCATGTCATCTACCAAGTAATGTATACAATACACATTCTACGTTCATCAATTATAAGTCCATATAAAATGTGCACGATGCTTTTGTATGAAATGCCAATTTACTATCTAAATTATCCTACATGCACTTGGACAGTCAGAAATATTAGGCAGTGTCTTTCAATACAGAAGCAACATGGTGTACAGCTTTATCAGCTGGTTTCGTGAACAAATATATCTCCTGTATGCGTCTACGGTAGTTCGCGAATCCAGTGACACAACGGCAAGTTAGCAAAAATTGCCAAACAGGCACTGAACAATGATTTTCTTAGAGCCTTTGTGATGAATGTATAAATAGATACGTTGTTGAATCTTGAGACTTAAATAAGAATGACTGAAGTTTTCGATAGCTGGAGCAGCACAAATATCACAAGCAGTCTCATAGAACGATATGATAATAATAATAATAATATTGGATTCTTATATAGCGCACGTATCGATCATCATCATGGCACGTTACAGAATGTATACATCAAGATATAATCTAAAAACTACTGTGACCTTTGACCTCATGATGCGCTGTCCATCAGTTCTAAAAGGTCATCACCCTTACTGGATGGACCAGAGGCATCGGGTATAGCCATGTCTCCCATTATTCTACTCAGCTCCTCGCTCGTCTGAATCTGGAAAAAGTAACGTTAAGAAAAACATTATTTCCAGTGTAAACATTTGTTATCATTTCCAGCAGTGTATCAAGGGTACATGAAAATGTATGTGCAAAGTCATTAGCAGATCTGGGGGGTGTTTCACAAAAGATCGTAAGTCGAACTTGACTCTTAGTTAGACTCAAACATTATGGAGTGCCATTTGTAGCCTTAAAATAAAATATATTCAAAAGCGAAAAATTCAAGTATTTTAGACCTTTTATAAATTCCACGTAAAGAAACTGATATCTCCTTGATAATAGAAAATATGAATGATTTGAATCAACATTCTATGCCTTTTGAAAAAACTTTTACAAAATAGTTTCATAGAAGCCAACAGCTTTCCATAATTTTAAAGTCCAACTTAGAGATAAGTTCAACTTATTATCTTTGTGAAACAGTCTCAAAGAGAGCACGATAGAAGCAAGCAACCCTCCACTTTGAGAGCAGCTTCCATATATTTGCATTTGTCCCTGTATTTCAAATAGCAAATGAATAGGTGATAAAGATGTATTTCCATTATCAATTACTAGGATGCATAGTCAACATTCACCCTCTTTTACTTTATAAACGGATCATTTAAAGCTTATCTGCCATAGTTTACAGGAGGGATTAGAGCGCCCTGCAAGGTCACTGGATAGGTGGTTATCTCATCAACTCAGCTCTTAGTTATCATAAGAAAAAGAGGATCATGGGGGACCAATGGTCACCGATTATGCATTGTTTGTTATATAGAGGGCGCAAGTAGCTACAAGTAGTGCAGTGGGCCTTTAACAATAACTTTATAACCCATAAGTTAGGTGTTCAGATAGCCAAAATCTTATACCTGTATGTGACCTTTACATTGCAACTTTGCCCATTTTCCTATCTGGAAAATTGACAGTACATGTTTCACATTTCCAGCAATATCTACAATGTAAGAAGCTGACTTTTTAATTTTACCCACAATACTTGTTCACTGATTGATTAATTGATTGATTTATTCTTTTCCCTCTTGGAATTCACAGATTTGCGGGGGAGGGGTACCAACCTTTGATGCGTCTATGTTAATGACCTTGACATCATACATGTCTGGTGGAGGACGAGTAGCTGCAAACTTCCTGAAAATTGAAATATATATATCATTAGAAAGAAGGGCATAAAAAATGTCACAATCAAAAGTTTTACAGCAAATTTTTAAACACATTAATAAATTCTGCAAACAATAACAAATTACAGGATCATGTATTGATTAAATTCATGTGCTCTATTACTGACAAGTCCTCTATTAAATTGCTAATTTATAGTTGAAAGCACTTTATTATTTTAATAACTTGCACATATAATTATATAATTATTTATGGGTCCATTAATTTTAACATTTTGATCCCGCCCCCCCCCCCCCCACAAAAAGAAGAAAAAAAAAAGAAAAGGGAAAATAGATTAATGCATAATCCATCCACTTGTATTGTATCACTTGGAAATGTAGATTGGTAAAGTGGTACAGACTTGTACTCTCCCTTGTCATCAATGCTCAATATCGAACATACTGATCTTTTGTTATTCAAGGGTTTTAACACAGATTCATGTACTTTCTCCTTCCACTTCAGTACCATAAATATGCTTTTTTGTTGGTAACCTTGAAATGAAAATGACTTACTCTTCCTCTTCATCCGTATTAAACATGCTGATCCTGAAATCATTTTCTTTGCCAGGACCACCTGATGATTTCTTCTCTACCGCACCCATCAGATGAGCTAGGAGATTAAGCTCTGCTTTAACCATGGGATTAGGATTAGCTGATGCCTGGAGATTAAACAAGAAATACATGCATGTTAATGCATTTCTCCAGCTTGATGAAGAACTAGATTTTGTGTTTTTAATACACATTTTGGGGGCAGAAGATGATCCTTACAGTTATACCTTGGACATGGGAATTCTGAGAAAGAACAACCAGAAGTACTTTAAAAGCAGAGTGCACAAATAAAAACCTCTGTAACATGAGTTATGAGTTCAAACTGGTTCAGATCTAATTGCTACCTGATTGTGATTCCCATTACTATTGAATCGTATAAAAATTCTACGATTGGCTCTGTATTGTGATCAAATTGTGGTATACCGGTAGTAAAATCATTCTTCATTCATTCATCACTACAGTGTATCTGGATGTCGCATACTTATCTTTGATCTTTAACCTTATGTTTCATGGACACGAAAATACAAGAGCAGTACATTTTAAACAAAAATACAACCAGAAGGGAATAAAACAAAACAAAAAAACATTCAACTGATTGCCTTAGGCGCCTTGGATTAATTCTCATGTGCGAGAAGCTGCAGCCTTTTAACCTGAGAGCGCATGCATGAAAACTGTATTGAGTTAACCTGGATGCGCGATTTGCCCACGAAAAGCCGCATTGTGTGTGCCCGAAGACCGTGACGTCTTTTTCAAGCCAGAAAAACCGCGATTAATTTTCAACCCATTGAAAGATTCGTCATACTTGTTTAGCTCCCTCTGCGACTAAACTAAGTTATTTTATCTTAGCCTGAGTTTGTGTCTAATTAGCACTGTACTCTGTATGTTTGGAATGGATCATTATGCACAATCAAAACACCGTTTAAAAGGGTTGTTTACAAATAATAAGACCTGTTTAAAAAAATCAACAAGCTGTTGTATTGTAATGAACTGTTAGCATTTTAAACAACGTTTTATCTGTGTATATATACCGAATGAATATTTAAAAAGTATATTTTTTTCGGGGAGGTAACTTGGAGGTGTCAATCTAGACACACAGGTTACGGGAGCCCCATTCAAATTTAATTCTCCAGCAATTCATGGAAATAAAGACTAGTGTTTTTTTTTCTCTCGTGCTGGCCATAAAGCCAATGTGTTGATTCATGAATTCCTGTTTGGAGACTATGCTATTCCATTGTCATTTAACTCATAGAGGCAAAACACATTTTACGGAAGGTTTTAAATATTTTTTTTTCTTTGAACTTGGTATAAAGCCCTCTCCAAAGAATATATTTCCTCTTGCTCCTGTTCATCTCTTTTCCTCCCTCTCTTCTCTTTCTCTCTCTCTTCTCCCTCTCTTTTGTTTCTTCACCCATTATGGGTGCAGTCTGGCTCCCTATCCGCATTCTGCCTCGTGCCCCCCCCCCTCCCCCCGTACGCTAGTGTTTCTCCGGCTTTTTATTATCATTATAATAATCATCATCATATTATTACTATCATTATTTAGATATGGAGGGTGATGAATAATGAAAGGAAAGCAATGAATTATAAAAATTCGTTTATAATCGTTTATAATTTTGGGTTGATTTTACTCTTCCATTCAATAAATCTCATTAAAATGTGAAAACTGCCCTCATTATTTTTTCTTCCTCCCTCCCCCAAGTATACTAATGTGTATTCGGTTTTTTTGTTTTTTTTGTTAGGTGGGGGTAATGGAAGGAAGGTAACATATCATTGATTGACATTCGTTTAGAAATTTGCGTTAATTTTGCTCACATCACAAACAAAATCTTATTAAGATAAATCAATACTCTTGCACAAGATTCAAGATTATGATTCAAGATACTTTATTTCTCCAATCGTGCAAAATATAAACTAACATTATCAATTGCTCCTGTTTGTTGTACTTTCATATTACTCATTATCAGTGCCCAAAATACACGGGGCGATGGGCAATTCGCCCCCGTGAGCTCCATAATCGCCCCCGTCAGGTTGCCCACGGGGGCGATTGCAAAATTAAGTCGCCCCCGTGGAATTATAAAATAAAGATTATCTTTTCTTATATAACTTTAACACAAAATGAGTTTCAATTTTCAAACCTTAAACCAATGAAATGGAACTTAGATGGCGCTTTCTCTCCCATCTCTATGTATTACCGATACAAACAACAACGACAGCTAATGCGGCCGTCAGCAGTGGCTATACTGTGCCGGTAGTACCGATGTGCACGCTGACGCCCAATATCTGCTGGAGCTGGAGACGATAGCGCAAGGACTGAAACATGAAGAAGTTTTTCGTTGTGAAAAGAATTCTCTGAAATATGGTTGTTCTAAAAGAACAACAAATAATGTAACTCGACCAATAAATAAATATTGAGAAGAAGATCAGCAAAGATGTTGGAGGGACGTTTCGTTGTACCGTTCTCGAAAAACAATCCTCCTCTGAATTCATTTTACCCCCCCCCCCCCTCCCGTCCGCGCCAAGTGCAGAAGCTTTGAAGTTTCATTAAATCAGTAGAGAGCGAAGACAAAAATATGAAAATAATATTTTGCCTTGATTAAGAAAAATTGAAAATTGTATCAGTATTAAACAGGGAGAAGGAAAGGGGAGGAAATTAATCAAAACAAACATTGAAGAATCCAATTCAGTGTTCTTTCGTGATGCATAAGAATGAAAGTACATACAAAGGTGAAATAATAAATTGAAGAGCGATGATAAATCAATTCTTTGACGTTGATTGATTGAATAAAAAATAATGAAACAATATGGTCTGAAGGTCATATATCTTCGAATATTAGAAAGTTTCATCCACCTTCGTGTTGTTGAACACTATTTGCAATTTAATTTTAATGCGGTGACTTGTCGGTTACGAGCAGAAGGTCATTTCAGGCTTCTATATTCTATAATACTATCAACAGATATCTGGATATAGGGCTTTCATCGAAAGGGTGCGGTGCGGTGCGGCGCGGTGTGGTGTGCTCAACGCACCCATTCGATAAAAGAGGGGGGGCTTTTCTCGAAAGGGTGCGTTGAGAGCGGAGTACCGTTTTAACACACCCTTTCGATAAAAGCGGGGGGGCTTTTCTCGAAAGGGTGTGTCGACTAGTCTTTCGCATCAGTCGTTTAAAATGAGGATCTGGGACAGAAGGTAATAGTTGCCAATTTAAGTATATCGAAAATGTATTAAATAAAATGGAATGGTTGTTGTTGTTGTTTTAGTTTTAAGGGCGTGTGTCATTCAATTATGAATATTTATTATGCAATTTAATTTTAATGCGGTGACTTTTCGGTTACGAGCAGAAGGTCATTTCAGGCTTCTATATTCTATAATACTATCAACAGATATCTGGATATAGACACTTCAAGCTACGAGTCAGAAAGAATGTCATCATCTCACAGAATTCTACTCGAACACCGCATCCAAATTCTTTTCACCCTTTTTTTCTTCTTCCTCTTTTTTTTGACCCTTTTAGCTCTTGTTGGCGGGAAAATTGCAACTGATATCCCCCTTCTTTTCTTTACTTCTTCCTTAATTTTCCTTCCCTCTATCACCTCTTCAGTGACTGGTCCCTCAGAAACTAGTGCTAAGCCAGTCACAGAGAATTCATGATTTCAACTGATGCCTGTTAGTGCATTGTACATTTGATTTTTCTTCACATTTCATTTAAAAATTTGATAAATATCGTGCATTGGAATATGGGCTATGGTTAGAGCGTTGGATGCTTTGAACAGCGTTGGTGTATTATGTGGATTTATCATATTCATATTCTGAATATTTTCAGCGAATTGAATAATATTGAAAAGGATGCAATTCATGGTTGTACTCGATAATTCTCACTTAACATATTCTCTCTCTCCCTGTCTTGCATAAAGAAAATATGAAAATAATATTTTGCCTTGATTAAGAAAAATTGAAAATTGTATCAGTGTTAAACAGGGAGAAGGAAAGGGGAGGAAATAAATCAAAACTAGATGGAATTCGACTGCGCGCAGTCGAAAATGATGCCTCCGTCATAGAGCAATTTTACAAACCGAAACGTTCATAAGTTGACCTCTGTGACCCTTGACCTTTGACCTACGTGCTCCAAAATCTAATCAGATTGTCTTCCTATGGTGATACACACTATCATTAAGTTTGAAGTTTAAATCTCCAGTGGTTCTTGAGATATTATGATAACAATCTCAATGTATGGAATTTCATAAGTTGACCTCTGTGACCCTTGACCTTTGACCTACGTGCTCCAAAATCTAATCAGATCGTCTTCCTATGGTGATACATACTATCCTTAAGTTTGAAGTTTTTACATCTCCAGTGGTTCTTGAGATATCATGATAACAATCTCAATGTATGGAATTTCATAAGTTGACCTCTATGACCCTTGACCTTTGACCTACGTGCTCCAAAATGTAATCAGATTGTTTTCCTATAGTGATACACACTATCACTAAGTTTGAAGTTTAAATCTCCAGTGGTTCTTGAGATATCATGATAACAATCTCAATGTATGGAATTTCATAAGTTGACCTCTGTGACCCTTGACCTTTGACATACGTGCTCCAAAATCTAATCAGATCGTCTTCCTATGGTGATACATACTATCCTTAAGTTTGAAGTTTAAATCTCAAATGGTTCTTGAGATATCGCGCTAACAAACTCAATACAAGGAATTTCATAAGTTGACCTCTGTGACCCTTGACCTTTAACATACGTGCTCCAAAATCTAATCAGATCGTCTTCCTATGGTGATACATACTATTCCCGAGTCTTAAGTTTAAATCTTAAATGGTTCTTGAGATATTGTGATAACGGTCAAACGGGACGGACGGACGGACGGACGTACGGACGGACGGACGTACGGTACGACGTACGGACGGACAACCCGAAAACATGATGCCTCCGGCACCACCTTCGGTGGCGGAGGCATAACAAACATTGAAGAATCCAATTCAGTGTTCTTTCGTGATGCATAAGAATGAAAGTACATACAAAGGTGAAATAATAAATTGAAGAGCGATGATAAATCAATTCTTTGACGTTGATTGATTGAATAAAAAATAATGAAACAATATGGTC